CTTTGTCAACTGTCATCTTTAGCAGATCAAGTAAAGTATATTTTTTCTCTTTCACACCAAGGAAGTTGCTGAGCTCTGTTGTATTCTTGTTTGTGAAACAGTCATAGACATAGAGAGCTGCAAAGAACTCCTGTATGGTCAGATGAACAAAGAAGAAAACCTTTCTCTGAGAAAAGAGTTCTTCTTCCCTAAGAACTGTGGTGCAAAATCCAGAGTGGATAGACGCTTCTTTTATGTTGATGCCACAGTTTTCCAGGTCTTCCTCATAGAAGATGAGGTTGTTCTTCAGCAGATGAACAAATGCCAGTTTGCCAAGTTTCAGGAGAAATTCTCTGTGTGTCTTCAGAAGATTCTTTTCATTTTTCTCAGTCTCCTGGTCATATTTTCTGCTTCTGCGTTTTGTCTGAACAAACAGAAAATATGCCATCATCTCTGTCAGAGTTTTAGGAGTTTCAGCTTTGCCATCTCCACTGAAAACATCCTGGAATAACACAGAAGAAATCCAGCAGAAGATCGGGATCTGGCACATGATGTCGAGACTCACTGAAGACTGGATATGTGAAATGATTCTGTCAGCAAGAGTCAAGTCATCACTAAATCTCTTCCTGAAGTACTCCTCTTTTTGTGATTCATTGAAACCTCTTATCTCTGTCACCATGTCGACATACTTTGCAGGGATCTGATTGGCTGCTGCTGTACGAGAAGTTATCCAGAGTTTTGCATTAGGAAGAAGGTTACCCTGGATCAGGTTTGATAGGAGGTTATTAAGAGGCGTAACTTCAGTGACAGACGTTACCCTCTTATTGTTCTCAAAGTCCAGTTGAAGTCTGCTTTCATCCAGGCCGTCCAGGATCACTAAAACCTTGGTATTGATGTAATCAGTTGAACCGTTCAAACTGTGGAGTGCAGGGTGGAATTCAGTCAGCAGCTTGTCCAAGCTTTTTGTATCTGTGCTCAAATTCATCTCTTTGAAAGGAAGACAGAAAACAAACTGAGTATCCTGGTTTTCTTTCTCCTCGGCCCAGTCAAGAATGAATTTCTGCACAGAAAATGATTTTCCAATGCCTGCACTTCCCTTCGTTAGTACTGTTCTGTGGCGTTTCTCTTGGCCAGGCAAAGGTTTGAAGATGTTGCTGAGGCTGACTGTACCTTCAGGAGATGCTTGTGTTTTTTTACGTTCGAGGTGTCTGAACTCATGCTCTGCTTGTGGCCCTTCACTTTCCCCAGTGGTGATGTAGAGTTCTGTGTAGATTTTGTTCAGCGAACTCTGTTGGTCACCATTACCTTCAGATATTGAAGTACATTTCTTTTTCATTGCTTCTTTAAGTTTCTTCTTTGCTTTCAAAAGACGTGTGTACCCTGTAACAAGAAAATACATGATTGCAAATTCCAATAATACCTGTGTGATTAATACGAAATGATTTTAGCTCAGGCTTTTATTGGTTCATCTGGTTGTTTGCTTGCTATTTCCTTTTAATGGCAAGAGAACCTATCACTATTTTAAAGACTCATATGTGATGCCACACTCTGATTATGAAGTATTACTCTATTACTAGCTTTACTTGTGGTATAGTATTGGTAATAGTACAGATATTTCTTCAGTTAGTATTTAAACCTACCAGTGTCATCTCTCTGATATTCAGGATCTTGTCTGGGTTTCTTCTGGCAGGGTTCGGCTGCTGGTGAATCAGACTGGTCCCAGTCTGAGCTGAAACACAACAACAAAAGGCACATTATTAGTTAATGTAGCCACTTCACCTGAAACACTTTTGTTCTGATAACATTTTCTCTGTGGTAGTTTCCTCGGACGCCAATTTCCGATTAATTGTCTTTGAGCAGTGTAGGTCTAAAGCTGTGTTCAGACTGAATACTAAATCAATTTTAAATTCAAATGCAATAATACAAAGAGGATTAATGCAAGACCAGGGGGCACCATCATGAAAATAAAAAATATAAAACATAAATTTCTCCCTTTTGGTGGAGTTTTTGTCTCAAAGCAGATGTGTAATTTAAAGCAGACAATAATGCAATTTAAAGATTAGATTAGATTTTAAACTGTTGTAAAAAAAAAAAAAAAAAAAAAAAAAAAAAAAAAACTTTAAGACCTGTGGGAAAAGCTGCTAAAATTCAATTTAAAAAAAATTAATGTCTGTGGGTATGAGTTTGTTTTTGTGTGTGTGTCTCAACTGTGAACTGTAAATTTTAATGTAAAATCTTGACTTGTTTATTTGACTGTATGACTCTGTTGCTGGCAGCGTAACCTGTGTCCAGTTCTGTCAAACCACTTCGAGATACTTTAATTACAGAGAATTACCGTTCAGGGTTCTTGTTGCCAAAGTTCATTGGCATGCCCATGGATCCATCACTCTTCATGGAGAGAATGCTGGGACTCGTGGATCCATCCGCTCTCATCTGTGAACTAAGAGGAGAGATTGTTTTATTTACTCATTTTAATTTAATCCACTGGAAACACTGCAAAAAGTGAAGGATTTCACAAATTTGCCAAAATATAGAGTTCTTTACTGGATGTTTTTTTGTTTGTGCTATTTGTTGAAGACGTCACAACCTGCTCATTTATGATGGGCTAAATTACCTGACTGACGGCTCGATACAGGAACTGATCTTCTGATAGGATGACCTGTCAGATGTCACAGGGGAAGAGCTGTGAGGCCCTGTGAGGGGAAGACGCTTCTTCTTCCGCTCAGGCATTTCACCTACAAAGCAGTGGGAGTCTAAAATAGATTTAAAGAGGTTTGTAAAGGACAAATTTTAGCATAAAGGCAGTTGTTTTTTACTCTCACTCTCAGTCCTTAATCTAGCGATGGCTGGAGAGTAACTGTGGGGAGGTTAGGGTGGGAAAACATAAATTGTAAAACTGAACTTAATAAATAATCAGGTGTAAAGTAATGTCTGAACTGTCCAGTTCAATCAAATTTGGCATAAAATACACAGTATAGATGCTAATAAGAATGATAAACATAATAGTACTCATGATTATACACAGAATAATAATCAATGATCAACATTAATAATAGGGGATAGCAATTTGCCCACATTTTATTGGAGAGGGGCGGTAAGGGATCTGGATATTTGTTGGGCCTTGGTTCACAAAAGGTTTTGAGAACCACCAAACCAGAATTGTCACCAAACAGAACTGACTTAATCATCGTTTACGTTTATAAATGATCAACATTAATAATAGGGGATAGCAATTTGCCCACATTTTATTGGAGAGGGGCGGTAAGGGATCTGGATATTTGTTGGGCCTTGGTTCACAAAAGGTTTTGAGAACCACCAAACCAGAATTGTCACCAAACAGAACTGACTTAATCATCGTTTACGTTTATAAATATGTCTCAAGTTTTATCCATAATAAAAGCAAAATGCACTGCGGGGCAAATGCGTTTTAATGTCTAAACATATTTGAGAAGTGTGTAGGTCAGGTGTAGGCCCCAGCCACAACAGACCACAATACAACAACTAATAATTAACACCATTAACCACCGAATGTGTTTATGTTTGTTTGTTTTAATGGTAGAAGTTTTTGACGTTGCTCCGCACTTCCGTTCTCAGGAGACAAAATATCGTCTCTGTACTTTTACAGTGAAAAGCATGACACGAACTAACAACACACAACGACAGACACACACAGAGCAGTCAGCTTATATGACATCACAAGGTAACACACAGGATAATAAACGGCTACTTACTTTTTACATCCAAAATGTTTCACTTGTTGCTTTTTGAATCAGAAACTATCTCTGACATGTAAAGTCAATGGACGCACCGTTAAAATAAGGCCACGTTGTTGTTTTACTTTCGCTTTCTATTCATTAAATCACATACCAAGAATTCATGAACAAAATGCTGGTAACAATTACACCACAGAACTGCAACAAAATAAACAGGATAAATGAGTTTGACTCAGCAATAGGTCGAACTTCAAGTTTGTGATAGAGGAGAATTATTTTGTAGTAGGATTAGTCCACTGTTCCCCCTGAATCAGAGAGCAGAGCACTGGCGGTGAGTGCAGCCTCACCTTTGACCCTGTTGCATTTAATGGATCATTAGTGACACCTAGTGGAGGAAAATGTTCATAACAGTCAGTGCAGTGGCTCCTGTGTACTGTACACACTGAAAAACCATCAGATTAGATCTGAGTTTACAATCTGTTGCTTAAAATTAAAAAAAAAAAAAAAAAATTGAACAGAAAGTCAGTGTTACCAACTGAGGATGTGTTAAGTGGACATTTATGAAATGTACTTTTGGTTGCATTATTGGAACTTCAGAACTTAAATCTTAAAACGTCACTTATATCCGCAGCATATAATAAATCACCACACTGTTCAGATGTCTTTTATTTGCTGATGTTTTAATATTTTTAGATATAAAAAAGCTTATACACAAACATCTTTCACCCACTCCAGTAAGAATTAGCCTCAAAGAAGCCAGACAAACTTTGGAGCTCAATGATTCTCCCTGGATGAATGTTCAGGGGAATAAAAGTGATTTAAAGTGAGTTACCTCCATCACTCCTGTAGCAAAACAGTTTCAGAATGGACAACCACTACAAGCATATTTCAAAACATAATACAGTTATAAAGCATTTTTCCACTTGACAGACTGAGCTTTCCCACCACATTTGGGGTACACAAGGGGTACATGTTGCAGAAGAAGCAATAACCCCATAAACACATATAAAGCTATAAATTCTTGAGGTTATTACAAAGATCAGCTCTACGTGTGATTAAGAGAGAGCAGAGGAGCGTAATCAATTGTTGACTGGCTTGAACGGCCGATAACATGAAACATAGCTCTTTGTTTTCCCACTGAGAAGACCCAGTCAGAGCTATGTGGTGTGCTCCTGTTTGTTAGATACATACTATACTTTAGCAAAAACTAAGTTCTGTGTGGCAGATGGTAAAACATTATAAAAAAAAGTACTGCCACTAACTTAACTGAAAGAATAAAAAAACACTTGTTACCTATTTACTTCAGTATAGTTAGAAAAACCATGAAGCAAAGATCAAAACAGTGAAACTGGTAAAACTTGTATAACCTGTATAATGATAGTTGCAAATACATGCACATATGTTTAAAGGTTTAAGTCTACAACTTGAATCACACACAGCAAATCAGATATCAGGAGTTTCTCGCAGTGCGAATACATCTATGAGTTTAGACATTTTATGGTAAATAATGGCATCTGGAGTTGCCAGGCCACATGTTTGACTTTGAGAACTGACACTGTATATAAATGATATAATACCCTCCATTTTCCTTGCTATACAAATTGAGTATATGACTGATAAGGCAAGGCAAATTTGTGTATAGCACATTATCATACACAGAGGCTATTCAATAAGGTACACGGAAATAAAAAAAAAAGATAAAAAATAAAGTAAAAAGTATAATAAGAAAATGGTATGAAAACAGATTATAAAATAGGTAATACCTAATTAAAGCACAAGATTTGATGAAGGCAGTGGAGTATTGAAGCCATTTACAGTTTAGTCTGATTTGATCTCCATTGGGAGCTGGTTCCAGCTGTAGGCAGCATTCTGGCTGAAAGCCGTTTCACCCTGTTTAGATCTTACAGACATATAAGGTTTAGATTGAACAGGTAAGAAATATATTTACATTTATATTTATAGCCCAGACCTAAGTCTTGGTTGGACACAAAGTCTCCGACACTAGCTATGTTTTTGAGATGCCAAAATGCAAATTTAGTTATAGCTTTGATGTGGTCACTGAAACTAAGATCTCCATCCCAGATTTTTAACATGGGTTTTAATGCTCTAGACTCCAGGTAAGCACTAAGTTGCAACCTTCTGTCTTTGCTCCCAAATAGTACTATCTCAGTCTTTATACTTGTCTTTTGGTACTAAAAGATAGGAGCAGTTAACCCTGCATGGTTTCTAAAATGTGAAGTCTAGATTGCTTAGAATATTGGGAATAACAAGTAAGTAGCCCCTTGCTTGTATAGGACATTTCACGACCTTATGCAAATCTACACGTAAGGTCACTCATGTGGTGCAGTGAAAGTTTGTTTATGGTAGCTGACAAAGTAATGCAGAGGAATGAGTGCGAAGTTCAACAGCAGGATAGAGGGGCTCATCAAATGTTGTTTTGAATGTATGGAGGCGAATCCGACTATCGGAGGAAACTCTGTAGAAGGACAGAGTGCCAGCTGGCCAATCCAGATACACCCCCACCCGACTAGAGCGTGAGCGGAGGGAAGATACAGTGATAGGGTCGTTGTTGTGCAGAACAAAACAATCAGCATTACAGCAATTAAGACTCCAAGACTTGTCGTTGCGTCCCAGCTTGCAATCATTCACATCCCCTTTCCTCTCATTGCTTCTGTATGTCACCCCAATGTTGAAGGGCTTCAACACATCGAACTCCCAGTAGCAGCGTTCATTTAAACCCTGCTCACACAGCACTTGTGGCCACTGATCAAACCTCTCTGGATGATCTGGATACGACTGCTCCTCTTCCACCCAGGTCACCTCTCTGTTCCCGTCAGAGAGACGGAGGTTCTTGTGGGCTGTGTTGGGATCCAAAGTGAGCTCACAGGCATCTGGAGGTAAGGAAACAAATCATTTCAGCAGCATAGACTTTAACAATATAGCTTGTGGTCACTACTGGCAGCACTAAGCACAATGCTGCTGCACAGCACTCCAGTCAGCAAGTGACAAAGAAATGTGTCGGATAAAGTTGTGTTTGTTGTTCAGAGTGCCTTCCCTGAAAGAAGAATAGTCAATATTCGTTCCATAAAAAATGTGTGGATGCCTCAGTGACAGAAATGTTTGATTTCACAATGAAAGCCATCCACAACCCAAACGGTTAGTATAACTGTCCTGTCTTAGTTAGTTGTAGCTAGTTGTATTAGTTAGTTTGTTATTAGTCTATTACAGGGTAAAGTTTGTTGAAATATAAGATATCTAGAACTGCTGTTCTCTGAAAACCTGAATAGACCTCCAGCTGCATGCGTTGCTTACTTACATTTCTTGAATCCTGGTATCATCCGGTGTTTTCCACCATGTTCAACACTGCAGAGAAAAATGAAGGTTAAATCTTCTGACAAAGAACAACCATGTAACCAACACTGTTGCTCTCAAAACCTTTGCTAGCAGAGTATCAGATCTGTCCACAGTAAATCTAGAGTATATGCATCTATTGTTACTGTCAGCCAACCTGTGGTGCTATTGTACATGACTACATTTTACTAAAGTTCAGTTCAATGATAGGGCACCCTTGACTATCTTAACTTGAATCTAAACATTAGAAGTAACTAGAATATATTTACTATATCTCTGTAAGAAGGTGTTTTTATTGTTGCTGTTGTCTTTAAGGTCCTTGCACAGTAGCTCTGGTGTAAAACTGACAGTAAACTCGTTTTAATATAATGGATTGTAGCAGTAATCCTAAAGCACCTTTTTCTCAGTTCAGTAGAAAAGTCAAAACTCTAGTAGACTACAATAATGTTACTAGAGCCCCGTTCAGGACTGTCTCATTCACTGTGTGGGACACAGTCCTGGAAGCTCCCATAGAAAAGCTCAGGGAGCTGTGAAATGATCTTTAACAGAGGTGGGGCAGTTAACCAGACATCCATTTACCAAACCTACCAGTTAATCTTCATCCTTGGTGTTTTCCTTTGTAAAACAGGAAATTGAACTGTAGTGACTTGGTGTCTTTTCCCCAATGGACACTAGGGGCAACAATGAGCCCATTCCATAATTGAAGACCAACTTGGACATTTGGCACAAAGGTAAGGTTTCAGGTGTATCAGAAGTGTTTTGAAAGGGTTTGATTTGGTTTAAAAAGAGAAAAGACTTACAGGATGAAGAATAACTGGTTGGTTTGACAAATATATGTCTGGTTAACAGTTTAAAACATGGCTGAGATTATAATTACTTGAGTATGCTGAGCTTGTATTGTGGATCATCCTTCAGCTCAAGGAGAAGCTTCACTCCAGAGTCTCCTGGATGGTTGTAGCTGAGATCCAGTTCTCTCAGATGGGAGGGGTTGGATTTCAAAGCTGAGGCCAGAAAACAACAGGCTGTCTCAGTGACCATGCAACCTGACAACCTGAGAAAACACAGTGTTTGGTTAATCAGAATGCAGATTCAGGATGTATTTATGAAGAGCAGTGTCACCAACAGGAAGTTTCTTGCAACCCTGAATGAATATAAAGAAGGTTGATCTTTATTCATTTCAGACAGAGAACCTAAATATTATGGAGAGAAAGGGCAAGTTGAAGTTAAAGAATTAACTGAATGGGTCAACCATGGTGAAGATAAATTATGACCATCAGTAAAAAATTATAAAAGTTGTCAGAAAGATGGATTCCAACAGACAAGAGTCTTTTATATTACTTGTTATATACATACCTCAGTATCTCCAGTTTGCAGGATTGACTTGACAGTCCATCACAGAGAAGCTCCACTCCTTCGTCTTTCAGGTCATTGTTGCTCAGGTCCAGCTCTCGTAGAGGTGTGTTGGGGAACTTGAGATCAAACGCCAGATGTTCAGCCCACTCTGTAGTCACTTTGCAGTCTGCTAGTCTAGGGGTGGATAATAAGGTTATATGATAAAGAAAGAGGTACAACTGTTTAATGATGTACATAAAATATGTATCAAGTATAAAAGACCATTTAGGGAAAGGTAGGAACTGTCCCCAATGGGAACTCGCAGGCTGCCCTGACAGTCTCACTGGTGGAACATGGAAATTGTTTGCATCCTGAGAAGAACATCAACATACAGTTCTCACGAGTTAAAGAAATACTAAAACTAAATCATGTCAACTTACATTGCCTTTCTGCTGCTCTTCACTGCTGGTATCAGCCTCCTTCTACCCTCATCTGATGTGTTGTAACTCTTCAAGTCCAAAACATCCAGATCATTCTTCGATACCTGCAGCATGTAGGCCAGTGCAGAGCAGTACAGGGGAGTCAGCTCAGTTTTTGAACGATCTTTCAACATCAGATATTCCTGAATCTCATCTTTGACTTTCTGGTCTCTCATCTCAACCATGGCCTGGAAGAGGCTGATGCAACGGTCTGGAGAGAGGGTCTTTCTTCGGATGGATTTGAGGTAAGTCAAGATTTTCTTTTCGGTATCTTGGCTTGGGTCCGGTGACGTCAGCAGACCCTGAAGGACTTTCCGGTTTGTTTCAACCATGAGGCCAAGGAGGAATCGCAAGAAGTAGGCCAGGTGCCCGTTCTTCTTCTCTAACACTTTGTCAACTGTCATCTTTAGCAGATCAAGTAAAGTATATTTTTTCTCTTTCACACCAAGGAAGTTGCTGAGCTCTGTTGTATTCTTGTTTGTGAAACAGTCATAGACATAGAGAGCTGCAAAGAACTCCTGTATGGTCAGATGAACAAAGAAGAAAACCTTTCTCTGAGAAAAGAGTTCTTCTTCCCTAAGAACTGTGGTGCAAAATCCAGAGTGGATAGACGCTTCTTTTATGTTGATGCCACAGTTTTCCAGGTCTTCCTCATAGAAGATGAGGTTGTTCTTCTGCAGATGAACAAATGCCAGTTTGCCGAGTTTCAGGAGAAATTCTCTGTGTGTCTTCATAAATCTCTCTTTGTTTTTCTCTGTCTTCTGGTCATATTTTCTGCTTCTACGTTTTGTCTGAACAAACAGGAAATGTGCCATCATCTCTGTCAGAGTTTGAGGAGTTTCAGCTTTGCCATCTCCACTGAAAACATCCTGGAATAACACAGAAGAAATCCAGCAGAAGATCGGGATCTGGCACATGATGTCGAGACTCGCTGAAGACTGGATATGTGAAATGATTCTGTCAGCTAGAGTCAAGTCATCACTAAATCTCTTCCTGAAGTACTCCTCTTTTTGTGACTCATTGAAACCTCTTATCTCTGTCACCATGTCGACATACTTTGCAGGGATCTGATTGGCTGCTGCTGTACGGGAAGTTATCCAGAGTTTTGCATTAGGAAGAAGGTTACCCTGGATCAGGTTTGATAGGAGGTTACTCAGAGATGTAACTTCACTGACAGACGTTACAGTCTTACTGTTCTCTAAGTCCAGTTGAAGTCTGCTTTCATCCAGGCCGTCCAGGATCACTAAAACCTTGGTATTGATGTAATCAGTTGAACCGTTCAAACTGTGGAGTGCAGGGTGGAATTCAATCAGCAGCTTGTCCAAGCTTTTTGTATCTGTGCTCAAATTCATCTCTTTGAAAGTAAGATAGAAAACAAAATCAATATCCTGGTTTTCTTCCTCCTCAGCCCAGTCAAGAATCAATTTCTGCACAGAAAATGATTTTCCAATGCCTGCACTTCCCTTCGTTAGTACTGTTCTGTGGCGTTTCTCTTGGCCAGGCAAAGGTTTGAAGATGTTGCTGAGGCTGACTGTACCTTCAGGAGATGCTTGTGTTTTTTTACGTTCGAGGTGTCCGAACTCATGCTCTGCTTGTGGCCCTTCACTTTCCCCAGTGGTGATGTAGAGTTCTGTGTAGATTTTGTTCAGCGAACTCTGTTGGTCACCATTACCTTCAGATATTGAAGTACATTTCTTTTTCATTGCTTCTTTAAGTTTCTTCTTTGCTTTCAAAAGACGTGTGTACCCTGTAACAAGAAAATACATGATTGCAAATTCCAATAATACCTGTGTGATTAATACGAAATGATTTTAGCTCAGTCATGCAAAACCACAAGCAAACACAAAATCTTGACTTTGAGGGGTTTTTTTTTTAAAGGTGGAAGGTAATTTGGCACCTGACACTTCCACAAAGTTACAGTGCATAATCAGAGACTCGTCTGGCTTTTATTGGTTTATCTGGTTGTTTGCCTGCTATTTCCTTTTAATGGCAAGAGAACCTATCACTATTTTAAAGACTAATATGTGATGCCACACTCTGATTATGAAGTATTACTCTATTATTAGCTTTACTTGTGGTATAGTATTGGTAATAGTACAAATATTTCTTCAGTTCGTATTTAAACTTACCAGTGTCATCTCTCTGATATTCAGGATCTTGTCTGGGTTTCTTCTGGCAGGGTTCGGCTGCTGGTGAATCAGACTGGTCCCAGTCTGAGCTGAAACACAACAACAAAAGGCACATTATTAGTTAATGTAGCCACTTCACCTGAAACACTTTTGTTCTGATAACATTTTCTCTGTGGTAGTTTCCTCGGACGCCAATTTCCGATTAATTGTCTTTGAGCAGTGTAGGTCTAAAGCTGTGTTCAGACTGAATACTAAATCAATTTTAAATTCAAATGCAATAATTCAGAGGATTAATGCAACACCAGGGGGCACCATCATGAAAATAAAAAATATAAAAAATAAATTTCTCCCTTTTGGTGGAGTTTTTGTCTCAAACATATGTAATTTAAAGCAGACAAACATGTAATTTAAATTTAGTTTTAGATTTTAAACTGTTGTAAAAAACAAAACAACTTTAAGACCTGTAGGAAAAGCTGCTAAAATTCAATTTAAAAAAATTAATGTCTGTGGGTATGAGTTTGTTTTTGTGTGTGTGTCTCAACTGTGAACTGTAAATCTTAATGTAAACTCTTGACTTGTTTATTTGACTGTATGACTCTGTGGCTGGCAGCGTAACCTGTGTCCAGTTCTGTCAAACCACTTCGAGATACTTTAATTACAGAGAATTACCGTTCAGGGGTCTTGTTGCCAAAGTTCATTGGCATGCCCATGGATTCGTCACTCTTCATGGAAAGAATGCTGGGACTCGTGGATCCATCCGCTCTCATCTGTGAACTAAGAGGAGAGATTGTTTTATTTACTCATCATTTCTTCAGAGCGGGGTCATTTACTCCTCAGGTACACAACAAATACAATCACTTTTCATAATGACAGAACTGTGGATTCAGTTTCACCTAACCATAATCTTGACTTGTTTATTTGACTGTATGACTCTGTTGCTGGCAGCGTAACCTGTGTCCAGTTCTGTCAAACCACTTCGAGATACTTTAATTACAGAGAATTACCGTTCTGGGTTCTTGTTGCCAAAGTTCATTGGCATCAGCATGGATTTGTCACTCTTCATGGAGAGAATGCTGGGAGTCGTGGACCCACCCACTCTCATCTGTGAACTAAGAGGAGAGATTGTTTTATTTACTCATTTTAATTAAATCCACTGAACACACTGCAAAACATTTAGAATTTCACTAATTTGCCAAAATATAAACTGTATTTTTGTTATAAAAATACTCAGCTTCTTGCAGTGTGCAGAGTTCTTTACTGGGTGTTTTTTTGTTTGTGCTATTTGTTGAAGACGTCACAACCTGCTAATTTATGATGGGCTAAATTACCTGACTGACGGCTCGATACAGGAACTGATCTTCTGATCAGATGACTTGTCAGATGTCACAGGGGAAGAGCTGTGAGGCCCTGTGAGGGGAGGACGCTTCTTCTTCCGCTCAGGCATTTCACCTACAAAGCAGTGGAAGTCTAAAAAAGATTTAAAGAGGTTTGTAAAGGACAAATTTCAGCATAAAGGCAGTTGTTTTTTACTCTCACTCTCAGTCCTTAATTTAGCGATGGCTGGAGAGTAACTGTGGGGAGGTTAGGGTGGGAAAACATAAATTGTAAAACTCAATAAAATACACAGTATAATCTAGATACTAATAAGAATGATAAACATAATAGTACTCATAATTATACACAGAATAATAATCAGTGATCAACATTAATAATAGGGGATAGCAATTTGCCCACATTTTATTGGAGAGGGGCGGTAAGGGATCTGGATATTTGTTGGGCCTTGGTCCACAAAAGGTTTTGAGAACTACCAAACCAGAATTATCACCAAACATAATTGACTTATTCATCATTTACGTTTATAAATATGTCTCAAGTTTTATCCATAATAAAAGCAAAATGCACCGCGGCGCAAATGCGTTTTAATGTCTAAACATATTTGCCCTTGAGAAGTGTGTAGGCCAGGTGTAGGCCCCAGCCACAACAGACCACAATACAACTAATAATTAACACCATTAACCACCGAATAAAACATTCACTACAAAATGAAATGAACGTGTTTATGTATGTTTGTTTGTTTGTTTGTTTTAATGGTAGAAATTTTTGATGTTGCTCCGCACTTCCGTTCTCAGGAGACAAAATGTCGTCTCTGTACTTACACAGTGAAAAGCATGACACAAACTAACAACACACAACGACAGACACACAGAGCAGTCAGCTTATCTGACATCACAAGGTAACACACAGGATAATAAACAGCTACTTACTTTTTACATCCAAAATGTTTCACTTGTTGCTTTGTGAATCAAAAACTATCTCTGACATGTAAAGTCAATGGACGCACCGACAAAATAAGGTCACGTTGTTGTTTTACTTTCGCTTTCTATTCTTCAATACAATCTGTTGCTTAAAATTAAAAAAAAAAAAAAA